TATGAAAATGAACCTTATTTCATTAGGGATCCTTGAAGATGAGGGATATACCTTCAAATTTGATAATAAAATTTTGAAAATTATGACGGGCTCTTTAATTGTAATGAAAGGCCTAAAATAAATGGTCTATACTACCTTGAAGGTAAAATAGTTACAACATGTACTGACTAAAAATAAAAATAAATCTGAACTTTGGCATAATAGAATGGATCATATTAGAAATAAAGGATTAAAATCTTTAAGTAACCAAAAATTACATAGAAAAGATGATATTGAAATAGTGGACTTTTGTGAGACTTGTGTGTTGGGTAAGTCCCACAAGGTAAGTTTTGAGTCCAACTCACATAGAATCAATAGACCCTTCGACTATGTACATGCTGATCTATGGGGTCTTGAGAAACATTCCACAATTGATAGAAGCAAATACTTCTTATCCATTGTAGATGATATTCTATAAAGGTTTGGATTTACCCTCTAAAGGCTAAATCTGAAACTTTTCAGAAGTTTAAAACGTGGCTCAAGGTTTTTGAAAATCAGTTAGAGAAAAAATTGACAAAACTAAGAACTGATAATGGGGTTGGGTTTTTGTTATGTTGAATTCGATAATTTTTGTAAATAGAAAGGGATAATGAGACATATGACTGCCAAACACACACCCCAACAAAATGGGGTTGTTGAGAGAATGAAATGACCACAATGAATAAAGTTAGATGTATGCTTATCAGCTCTGACTTGGCCAAAGGTTTTTGGGTAAAGATGCCTGTACAGTAGCCTACTTGATTAATAGGTCTCCCTCTAGCAGTATAGGCTTCAAAACTCCATAAGAATTGTGGACAAGGGAGCCTCCAAACTTAACCCACATAAGAGTTTTTGGATGTGTTGCATATGCACATCAGTTCAAAGAAAAGCTTGAACCTAGGGCCATAAAATGTGTGATGCTAGACTACCTAGAAGGTGTAAAAGGATACATGTTATGGGATTTAGGTGTCCCAGGATTCAAGTTCATTAACAGTAGAAATGTAGTCTTTAATGAATCTGTAATGCCATACCTAAAATAAGATATTAATAAATCAAACAGATCTGAGAATGACAGGACTGTTTAGAGTGAGGTGAAGTTAGTTAAATTGACTTACCTCAACATAAGATGAGAATAATAATCCTACACATCAACAAGCTGAGCTTGTTGAAATGAATATATCCCAAATTGAAATTGAACTTGAAGATCTTGAATGTACCGCTAAACACACCAATGTTCAAAATTATCAACTCACTAAGGATAGGGAAAAGGAGTCAAATTAGACCTAATCCCAGGTATGAGCTATTAAATTTGATTGACTTTGCCCTGGTATCAAGAGAAGCTCTTAAACAAGGAGAACATGCCTCTTATGAAGAAGCAATTAATGGGAAATTTTTTGAAAATTGGATACAGGCAATGTAGGTGAAGATGTAATCTCTAAGTGAAAATAAAACATGGAAGCTTGTCAAAAAACCTAAGGATCATAAGATAGTTCAATGTAAATGGGTTTACAAACTTAAAGAGAGAAATAATCCTACTGATCCTATTAGGTTTAAAGTAAGACTAGTAGAAAAGAGGTATACTCAAAGAAAAGGTGTTGATTACAATGAGATATTCTCACCTATAATCAAGTATAAGACAATTAGGTTGGTTCTAGCACTTGTTGTTCAATTCAATTGGGAACTTGAACAACTTAATATTAAAACTGCATTTTTACATGGAGAGTTGGAAGAAGATATCTTCACAAGTCAGCCTCAAGGCTTTGAAACTAAGAATAAGATTGATTATGTGTGCAAATTGGAAAAATCATTGTATGGACTGAAACAAACCCTAGACAATGGTAAAAGGTTTGATGCATACGTATTGAAGATATGTTTAAAAGGAGAGATTTTGATGCTTGCCTATACTACAATAACATACAAAGTAGGTGTAAGTCTACCTACTGCTGTATATTGATGATATACTTTTAGCTAGCCCTAACAAGTCTCAAATCACTAGACTATCTGAATTTGATATGATAAATTTAGGAAGTGCTAAAAAAATTCTAGGGATGGTTATAAATAGAAATGTGCCTAAGAACAAGTTAACTATCACATAAGAGGCATACTGAAATATGGTTGTAACCAAGTTTGGGATGAAGGAAAGCAAGGCAGTTAATGTGCCTCTTGCAACTCATATGAACCTTTCTAAATCCTACTATCCTATATCTGAAGAAGAATTAAAGGAAATGGAAAACATACCCTATGCAAATGCAATAGATTCTGTCATGTAATCTATGATAACAACCGAACTTGACATTGCTTATGCAATTAGTTTTTTAAGTAGATTTATGTCCAACCCCGGTAAGCCTTATTGGGCTGGAATGAAATAGTTGCTAAGTTATATTGTTGGGACATTAAATCTGGGACTAGTATATAAGAAAAGATTTGAAACTTAACCCTTAAGATTTATGTAGATTCTAACTTCGCTGGTGACAAAGATAATAGAAAATCAACTACAGCGACTTTTTTTTTTTTAAAATTACATTTGGAGACAATTGCATAACTTGAAAATCTCAGTTGCGACCTTTGGTTATACTATTCATCACTGGAGCTAAATATGTAGCTATAACTGAAGTTGTAAAAGAATATATTTTGTTGAAAGAGATTTTAAAGGAATTAAAAACTTCTTGTATGATACTCCTACTATATTTATTGATAGCCAGAGCGTTATCTTACTTAGTAAAATTCCTATCTATCATGAAAGATCAAAACATATTGAGGTGAAGTATCATTTTGTTAAAGAAAAATTGTCTCAAGGTGAATTTAATTTGGTTAAAATTCATACAGATAAAAATCTCACGGATATGGAGACCAAAGTTTTGCCTACATGTAAGTTTAAAAAGTGTTTATCTTTCATATTAATACAGATTAATTTTCTTTAGTAGATACCTGGGCAATGATGATGGACAGTACTTCCATGTACATATTCAGTAATCAGAGAGTGAGTGTTATTGAAAATCAAGGTGAAGATTGTAAAAGTCATGTTTCTCAAAACACGTTAAAAAGAGTGCTATTTATGTCATTTGCCCTTGTTGCCTATTTGGATGATTTTGCCCAAGTGGCATCCATTTATTGGCGGCTTAGCATGCACAAGGATTGTGCTAGTTGAGGTCCTGTCCAAGTCGTTAGATTCAATTAAGGGTTGAGATTTATTCTTGGAATCTATACCTTACCTTGGGTGGCTTTAATCATATGACTTTTGGGGCTCATGCTAGACGATTCGATTTCTCTCTCTTTGGCTCTTCCTTCGTTCTTTTTAGATTGAAAATTTCTCCCTTTCTGGTCTTTGAGTTTTTTGTAATTGATTCAATGGAGTGTGTTGTGTTTATGTACAATTAGGTCTGAAAGAGTGGCTGATTTGTGTAGGTTGACTTCATATAGTTTTGGTTGGTTTTCTTCTGGATCATTTACTGGTTTTACGAGAACTGATAGATCAGTGACTAAAACCTCGTGTAATTTTACTCTCTTGGAAGGTAAAATATTGTACTAATGGAACGGGCTGCTCCTCAGCCCCCCCATCCCCCAAATTAGGCTTATTGGCTGAATTGGGTAAACATTTTGCGGTGTTCTTGTGTTCATCTTTACAGTTTCATTGTGTGTGATATTTTATATTTTGGTTTAAAACTAGAAATCAATTGTAAATCCCAAAAAGGCGTTTATGGCTCGATTCTTCTTTATTATTCCATTTGAACAAAATCTAAGACAATGACAACATTTGTTTAACTTGAAGATCAATATACCTATTTTATTTGGCAATCTCTCTTGAGTAATACTAAACTTATATTGTTCACAAATGTTCGCATTAACATCATCTCTACAGAGATAGAGGCCATAGATTGTGTCAGAAGGGCCAAGAACAACCCTAGGGCTATAAAATCCGTTATTTTGAGTGGCACCAATGGAGGATTAATTGAGAAAAAGTTCATTCAAGTTGGCTGTGTTGGTGAACAATCATGATCAGTAAGACATTACACCTTGTCCATCGAAAAAGACGTCAAAACTACCACTGTCATTTGTATGCGACATTATCCATGTTTAATTAAACAATATTTTTAAGGTAGACTGGGGAACGTATTATATTCTATATCAATCCC